TCGATGTCAAAGGTCGCCTGCTATGTCTGATGTAAAAATCTTGAAATACAACAATGTGCTGGACTGATTAGTATCACGCATTTTTCAATCAGAGTATTTTTTAATCACAAAAAGTATCACATGGACCACTGCTTTGTGGAACCAACTCCCAAGAAGATGCTTCCTCGATCACTACAATCTTAACCTGTTCAAGTGTAGGCTTAACCGTTATGTTCTCCACATAAATTGTGCCTCTTACTTTGTAACGCTCTATTTCGAGCGTCTCTTAGGCCTTGTACAAGGTGAACATTATTGTTAAAAAAATCACTCCTACAAACCTGCTCTAAAAGTACGTACCTTTTGTCAATTAAAGTATGACCACTCGTACTAATAAAGAACCAAGCTGTTGATGCTGAGGGGCACCAACCAAACAAGAATAGGTCTTGGATATCTTTTAGACCCACCAATATTTGTGCCTTGCTCTAGTAAAATCCCTGTTTTACAAGCGTTTTTGTTTGTTTCATTTTTCTATTTTTTTTTTTTTTTCATTTTATTGGAATTTTTTGCTTTCCTATATTTTAATATTTCTATTATTTACCAACATTTGTTTTTATTTTGCACTTTCTTTTTTACCGTTTCAGATTGACTTCTTTAAATTTGTTTTATTCTGTTGTTGTTTTTTGTTTGCTTATTTCATTTTATCTACAGATTCTCATCTACTTGATTCAAATCTAATTTTGAAAACGCTTTCATTTAATTTTTGCTGATTTTTTTAAATTAACTTTATTTGCTACTTTCTATAATTATACATACTTTTATATTTTCTTTATTTTTAATTTAATTTGTAGTTGATTTTAAATTTTATTTCATTTATTTAAATTTTCCTTTGAATTTGTTATCTTAAATTTTTTAAATTATATTAATCTTTTTTTCTCTTGCTTAATTTTATTTCTATTTTTTATTTTGAAATTTTTCATTGTGTACAGTGTTTGATTTTAAGAGTATCGTATTTTTTTTTATTTTTCGAATTTGTCTTTGTTATTGTGGTCGCTTCCTTTATTTGTTAGTTTGATTCTTGTTTCAAAATAACGTCAACTCTGTTCATTCAATTTGTTTATTTCGTAAATGTCTTTACTTTTTTTGTTGTTGTCTTCCGTGTTTCCTATTTTGTTTTCTCTTCCGTTTTTCTTTTTTCTTCCTTATTTTTCTATTTTCATTTTTCTTCTTTTCCTTCTCAAGCTGAAGGCAACCGAACATTCGCCATTTATTCGTTCATTTTCAAAACTTTATTTTATTTTTAGATTATTCAGCCGGAAGTCAATTTCACTCTCTTTCTTTTTAATTAGGAAAATAATAGATGATTTGATTTTTTCTTTTTTTTTTTTTTCATTTACCCTTTCGGCGTATTGAGAGAAATGATAGCCCATTAAAATGGCTATTCCACGACCTAAGATTTACTTATTGAAAGGAACCTAACAAAATTTAACCTTTCGAATATCAGACAGGTAAATTTGTCACACAGTCAATTCCTTAAGATTTAGTTTTTTCGGATCAGTACTGTAAAACAGTGATTCTCACATGGTAGACATTTGACTCACAAGGTCGTAGTTTCGAATCAGTGAAGAGTTCCAGCAAACAGAAAAAAATGAGGAATGGGATTTTAATCGTGGAAGGAACTCTAAACTGAACATATATAAGATTTCTCGAATATTAAGACGAAAATAAATATACTTCTTAAAATAAACGGAACGTCTTCTCAAATATGGCTATCCACATAAAAATAATGTTTAAAGTGACAAAGATCTGTCGGATAAAAAACCCATTAATTCTTTAAAAATTGCTTTGTTTATGTTTCGGATACAAAAGTTTATAATTGAAAAGTTTAGTTATGAAGTTTCGGGAATCCGTAAAACGAGAAAAATGCACGTAAAAAGCATTATTCAACCTTAATGACATATATACAGGGTGCGATGGATAAATTGTCGTCCAAATCATACAAAAATGAAAATAATACTGACATCTCATTTTAATAGATATATTTACCAAAATTACACAAAAATATCTTAAAATACTAAAGAGTAAATTGCTACTTGTCTTTGTAGGCAGTCGTACGGATTTTCTAACACCTGTGAAAATTTTCAAGTTGAAACATCACAAAACTGAAATATTCACAAATTCGTTTAAATATTTCTCGGCCAGCTCCATTTTTTTAAATATTTTATTGTCATTATAATGGGACTCTTCGAAACAAAAGACTACGTACGGAGAAACTTTAGTCATTTACCTGTGATTTCTTTTTTTTTATCATACTATGACCCTGAAAGACGTAATCAATCATGACACACATTTTCCTTTTTTTTATTACCTGTGTATTGTGATGTCTTCTTGAGAAAATGGAGCTTGTTGCCTTCTCCATGTTAGGGAATTTTCATTCTCTGAGGTTTGTTGTGATCCAAGGATAAAGAGTCCAGTCTACTCTGCTACTAATCCATAGCTGGTAGTGTGGAGAAGGGCAGAATTAATGAATGCCCCAAGATCTGTACGAAAGTGAACACAACAAGCTAACCCGGAATTCGAACACGGCTCGCTGATGTCACTTTCTGCTCCGATATACGTTACACTTCTCTGAAGCAATCAAGTATATTTCTATGTATACCAGAAGTAGAAAGCTCTGTTGTTCAGCATTATTCAACTTTGTTCTCACTTTTGACCCTTCGACCTCATCTGATCTTCATCAATAATTAATGTCATCAAGAGCTTGACTAAAATGCAAATGTTCAAAATGGATTCGGGAAATAGTAAAACTGAATGATTAAATCTAATCCGCAAAGAAGGTGGACAAAGTGAAATGTAGCGAACATGGATTTTGTTTTGTTTTTTTAAAAAGAAAAAAAAATATATTTCACACAAAATTATTTTTCCGAATGTTTTTTAATATTTACTTTATCGCAAGTGAGCTTCCGGCAAGAAATGAAAATACGGAAATTAGATTTTGTTAGAAAATGGAAGAATTAGATAGATATGAACAGACTGATAGATAGATAGATAGATAGATAGATAGATAGATAGAAGCGGTTGAAGGATTTAACCTATCATTTCTCCAGATTCAAAAGAATTATATAGTGAACACTACATTTAATAACAGTCAATCTACTGGCTTGCTGACCCTCACTCATATATATATATATATATATATATATATATATGTGTGTGTGTGTGTGTGTGTGTGTGTGTGTGTGTGTGTGTGTGTGTGTGTGTGTGTGTGTGGACTCTCCTATCGTGAACGATAAATGAGGATCAGTATTGGATGGTACGTTTCGTTTTACACTTATGCATGCTAGCAGGAGCTATTGTTGAGAAAATCAGGTAAGGGAAAGACATATTTTATTTGTGATTTCTTAAGTGTGATACTAACCCAGCATTGATGTGGGCGACAAAGCTACACTGACAGATGAAATTTATTAAAGCAGGATTTTGATGGTGTCTCTGCTTCAGAGCTTGACGAAACTGATCACAGTACTTCAGTCTACTGTCTTCAAAACCTTTTAACTTAATGAAACATGTCTTACGCCACTCCTTTCGGTTTGATGCTTGGGCTTCCCAGGTTTTCAGATTAAATTTGAGACATTTCAAGTTGCCTTTCAATTTGTCTTTGTAGCGTAAGAGTGGACGTCCAACTGAACGCCTGGAGTTTGTTCATACAGTACGCGTCGGCAAAATGTATGATTTTTTCCAATTGTCATTTGATAGCAATCTGTCTTGTCCACAGAATTCATCTGGGAATTTAACTATATTGTCGACATGGAAAAAAAAAAATAATAATAATCCCTTACTGTAATGGTAATTTACATTAACCAGAAAAAAGGCTTAGACACAAGCGTCTATCTTTTTAATTTTGAATTTTAATGTAACTATAACAGCAAAAACATTTCGATTTCATTTTTGCCTTGAAAAAGTCGGAAGACGAAACGCGTCGGCAAATGTATGATTTTTTTTTCCAATTGTTATTTGATACCATATATATATATATATATATATATATATATATGTGTGTGTGTGTGTGTGTGTGTGTGAGCGCCTGTGTGTGTGAAAGAGAGAGTGGGGATGAGATAAAAAGAAATAGAAAGGGCACTGGAAGTTTTTTTCGGTCCATTCCACTTCGCAAAATATGAAGTGACCAAATATTTTTTGAATGTTTTGGTCAGGCCGGGAACTGTCTTATACTTAAGTACACATAGGTGTGTTCACCTCCATGCCTATATTTGAATGTGTTTACTTCAGAGAGATAGATATTCACAATCTTAATTTAGCCCGGTAACAAGGTCACTGGTGTAGATTATCTAGTGGGGAAAGGATACAATACAATAAGGACCCACAAGAGTGACTCATAAACCCCAATGCTCTACGATTTGAGGCTCATATAATTTGTTAGGAAAAAACAAATGAGACATTCAAACACATGTATTTTTAAATCCTGTAAATATGTTTTAATTAAAATGTTATTTGCGTTTGAATTTTTATTTTACATTTCTTTATACCATGTTTTCTAGATTGAGAAAAAGTAATTATTCGTTGTATATTTTCCCATTTATTTAATATTACATTTTTAATTTTCCGTTTTTTTACTTTACTTCAGCATTTATTTTTTATTAAGAAACTTGTCGTCCCGAGGTACATACATATATACATACATGCATACATACACACATACATACATACATACATGCATACATACATACATAGTGTGTCAATGAATTCGATTCACAGACTCATACATTCACGTGCGCACATAGATCGACAGATCAGCTTAGTTTGGGGAAATTGCATATAAGGAAGACCATGTGGCGCTAGTCTTCAAATTCGGGAAGAATTATCTTCCTTGAAATTAGTATTCAACATCCTGTTTTAACACCCTGAACGCGATTACCAGTCGAACACCAGGTTGCCTTAAGAACGGAAATAGATTCACAAATGTTACACTGTTTACAAATCATATAAATCTACAAAACGATTATTTGAAAATGGTAAAATATCTCTTTTCACGCTTTCTTTTTCTTTCTTTCTTTCTTTCTTTCTTTCTTTCTTTCAGTTTCTCCCATTCCACTTTTTCGCATTCTCTTTTTTCTCTTTTCAATTTTCTCTCTCTCTCTCTCTCTCTCTCTCTCTCTCTCTCTCTCTCTCTCTCTCTCTCTCTCTCTCATACTGGCTCTAATGAAATCGATTCATGTATACACTACTCTCAACCTTCTCAAAAATCAGCAACGGACGCTATCGAAATTAATGCGAACATGCAGCATATAAAATGTAGTTCTACGAAGCAGCTTTTTTCATGAATTCTGAAAGTGTGGCCTCTTTCTTTCTAATGCCATTTCGTTTCCGCTATAATCATTAAAATGAAGAGAGGTTAAATTAGAAAGTTCTTTTATGGGCCATGCCACTTCAGGACGTAGACAGTCATTACTCGAAACAACTTCCTATCCTTTGTAGTTCTTAATGGTGTTTATCTATCAACCACTATCCCCTCCCAATCCCTGTTCTGTCATCCATTTACACACGCTCGTTAGGTACATTACTCACTGTTTGCTTTGGCTCCTCTTACCGTCAATATATCCTGTGAGTGTCAAATTCTCCAAGCCCTCTTTCCTTATTATGTGTCCTAGAAATTTTAACTGCATAGTTTTGCAAGCTCCCGTTAGTGTAGCAAGTTCAATTTTAGGTGCATATTCATATTAAATTGCATCATGTCACATTAATTGTGCATTCGGTTGTCTGGTTTCTGCTTTGTGTCTATCGATAACTCGCCATCTTTGTTCTTAGAAACATTTTTTTCTAATCGCAAAATTTGAATAAATCCCAAATAGGCTTAAACGATTAAAAAGAAACGATTTCAAATGATTAGAAGGCCCTGTGAATACGACATGACAGAAGAAAATTAAAGCTGTGGGTAATGCAGTGCACTTGTTAACCTGGCTGAACAACGTCGCATTTCAGATTTTGCCATCCAATTAGGAGAGAAAGGATCAGAGGGGAGTATTATCAAATTTAAAACGACTTTCGTCAATTAATTCTTTCTCTCCCACTCACTCCTATCTCTCACTCCCACTCACTCCTCTCTCTCTCTCTCTCTCTCTCTCCCACTCATTCCCCCTCTCTCTCTCTCTCTCGCTTGCTCGCTCTTTCTCTCTCACTCTTGTTATTGTCCTGTCTTTGTTGACTTTCTCGATTTTTTTCAGTTCTGTTAAATAAATCACCATTTTTACTTAGGATTTCAATCTATTGCCAATTTTTTCGATAGTCTTTGACGTTTTTCGTCCTGCTGTTTTTGACCATTCAATTATTTTCAAATACATCCCTGGTTTTTCGTCACAAACAAATCTTTTTTCCTTTCTTCCTCTATCTTTCTCCATCTTTTTGTTTAATATGCTTTCTCTTTTACTAAGTTCTTTCTTCCACCACTAATCTTTCTCTCTTTCTGTCTCTTTTATGCTTTCTCTCCATTACTTTCTCTCACTTTCTCTCACTTTCTCTCTTTTACATTCTCTTCCAACTTCCAATTTCTCTTATTTATTCCTCTCTCTCTCTCTCTCTCTCTCTCTCTCTCTCTCTTTCTTTCTTTCTTTCTGGTTCAGTCCTCTCATACACTCACTTTTTACTCTCTCTCTCTCTTTCTCACTCTTTCTCATACTCTTTCTGTTTCTATCATATTTTCCTTTACCACTTTATGAATCTTACTCTGCTCATATCTGTCTACGCGTTTCAATCTTATCTGTTTGTCTGTGATTGCTACTATCTGTCTAGGCCTCTTCAGATGTCTGTATTTCTACCTGATCACATTCATGACTGTTTGTCTATCGGTCTGTGCCTGTTTATATCTTTCCGTCTGTCTAGTTGTCTGAGACTATTCATATGTTTATGTCACCACTGTCTGAGCTTGTTCATATCCGTGTCTGTCTGTTTATCTGTCTGAACATATTCATGTTTGTCAGTCTAACTGCCGGAATATGTCTGTCCACTTTTATGTGTATATCAGTTTTCTTATCTGCTCCTGTGTGTTTTTCTTTCTTTCCATTATTTTTTTCTCGCAGGAATCTTGTTCTCATTTTATTTCTATCTACCCACAACTCTTCCTCACATAAACCATTGAATCTTAAGCCGTGAGGCTTTCGGTCATATCACGTGAGAAACACCGGTTCACTTACGATAACCGTAGTTCAGTAACGTCGTGCTTAGTCAATACCTACATGGATGACTGCTCGCGTGATATGCGTGTGGTGTAATGGATAACGGCCAGAAATTGGAAATCGGTGAACCGAATTCAAATTAGAGTCGGGTTCGTTATATTAACTTACGCGCAAATATTCCTTCAGAAATATATCAATCCAAATCTTCTCCACCCATCTATGGGTTAAATAGTAGCGGTTGTATCGGTAAAATCATTATTATCTCTCAGAGATTCTTACAATCTAAAAATATTTGGGGGCTTTAAATAACCTGCAATCGGTTGATAATACACAAAAACAAATCAATCAATCAATCAATCAATAAATTAATATATATATATATATATATATATATGTATATTGATAAGACCAAATGGAGTAAAATTCCATTGTCTGAAGCATTTAATTTTTTTAAAAAGAGCTCAATACAGAGTAGCGATTAATTGTTATTTTTTAATTTAGCGTAGGTCTGACACATAAATGGTTAATCAGGTTAAAGCCACAAGCCTCATTTTAATTTTGATTTGGTGTAATCTCGTTCTTCTCGTATCTTTCGAAAAAAAAAAAGAGGGTGTATTCTGCTTCTGAAATTTAAAAATAATTATTTACTCACCAGTTATTTACCATCGCCTGGGGAGGTACAAAATCAGTGCTGAAACATGAAAGCTATTGTATAGAGATGTTTAACGTTTTCGTTTTAATCCCATAATAATATATATATATATATATATATATATATATATATATATATATATATATATGATAACCTCATTCAGTTTTTATGTTTGTGCTGTATGCTTTCCTAGTGACCTGCATACAAATCCACATATTGTGCCACAGCGGGGATCTTGGGACTTAACCACAGGAATATTTGCTGACGCATTACGCCGTTGTCTTTTGTCCCTTTGTCGGTCCATACGACTGATTTCAAAATTTCTGATATCACTCTGGCACAAATATCTCCACTTATTTCTGTCATGAGGCACATTGCGAGCTCTTTAGCTTGTCATTATACCTGAGCCAGGGACGTCCAACAGTATATATATATATTGTCAGTGTTAAGTCGTGGGACATAAAACACGGGATTTTTTTGTTCAAATTCTTCATTTCAGGCTACCAATTGTTCACAAAGAAAATTAAACCATCTTGAACCTGAAAACCCTAAACCTATTCGATTAATGCATCAGTAATTGCATCGCTTAATTATTTTTTCTTTCTTTTTATTCTCTTCCATTTGAAAATTTGGATGACCTGAAGCAAAACAGTTTCGTTGACGAAGTAAGTTTTCAGCACAGTAGTATATATTGGTTCTTTGATTTGAATAAAATGAATACTTCGGTATATTGAGATAGATAGATAGATCGATAGATAGATAGATATGAATAGACAGACCGACACATAGACAGACAGATATGCACAAACTTGTATGTTGGTTAAACAACTACCATCGTATCCTGTTAGGATTTGTTTCTAGTCATTCTATTCGTGTTCATATTACTGCGTAGATAACTCTATGAATTGATATTCTTCTCGTATACACCAAACAATCTTTAATAAATACGCATTTATTATACAGCACTAATAGCGAATAAAAGGTTTCTTGAAGCCCATGTCAAAAAATATGGAAACCACAAATCACAAAATTTAGACAATATTTACATTCTTTAAATGCAAATATGCGTTGTTGTACGTAAAGAAAGGTTAACTAAAATATTATAAACATTCCTACGGTCTTTAATTATATCGTGTCTCACTAGAACAATTAAGACTGAGTAGTGAGTTCGATCCTCACTGGGTGCACCATACTTACAGCCTTGTGCCACATCTAAGCTACGCTTGAAAAATTACTATATATCCACTTGGAACATCTCGGACGTAAAGAAAAGAAAGAAAAAAGAGCCTAAACAAGTGAACAGAAATAGCCCAATCCTGTTGAAGTTACACACTGTTGCGTTCTGTGTCGTCTCTGGGTTCCCACGCTACTATATAAAATGGTATCAACGAGAAGGACCATTTCTTTTTGTTATTCGTTTTATTAAGAGTGGCAGCTTGGGTTCTAAGAGGCATTAAGAGGATTGACGTCACGGGAACGCATGATGCAGGTTATCTCAGTGACACCCCCCTCCGCAGATGGTCTTTGCTGGTCACTAACCTGGGTGTGGGAGGCGTATAGACGCTTCAGATTTCTTGAAACCCTCTGTTGAATTCGCATTGTTTTTGGACTTATATTCAAAACCCAGACAAAAGCGATTCATCACTGCCAAAATATCCCACCAATCGCTGATTATTCTGTAACAACAGCCTTGGTTATGAGGTTTTGAGGCATCCGCCTTATTGAACAGGAATCTACCCCACGGATTATTTAAACATTTTGAATTTTCTTTACACAATAGATGATTTTAAAATATGCTAGTAAAGAACAAATCTGAACAGATAGTGAACAGTATAGTATAGAAAAAATCTGAACAGTTTCTTAAAGCAAAAGGAGAACAGGTTTTTATTTTTTTGTTTGTTTGTTTTTTAATGAGATAAACAGAGGAAGAAAACTATTATTTTGAATAAAACGCATTTTGATTGAATCATTTTTTAATTGCCGTTCATCAAAATACGGCATTTCATTTGGGATCGCCTAATAGTATTCATCTGGTTAATTCAGTATTTCTTGATTGACCCGGCCAGAACAGAAAACGTAATTACAAACAAAATAGTTCACATTACAAGACGTTGAGTTTCAATGGCACGAAATATTTAGAAAAGATAAATTGTAAATTGGCTGCGATAAGATCAATTGTTGTGTTTTTATTTCAGTTACAAGACGCTGAGAATGTCTACTACCACCCGGATGAAGAGAGAAAACTGACAATTCATATTGAATGGATTAGTTCCTGCCTTTTGGTACGACCAACCTATCATAGACTGGACGATGTCTCCAGGGTTCACAAACATCAAATGTTGTAAGTTATTTCTACAGTTCACTATTTTCCAATATTTTTCTCGCTCATTTGTCTGCCTGCTCCCCTCACTCTCTCTCACTCCTGCTCTATCTCTCTCTCTCTCTCTCTCTCTCTCTCTCTCTCTCTCAGATCCTATTTATCTCAGATGATTCAAATCTCAATTTGTTCTTAAATACCATCTGAGTCTGTTAATATCTATTTATCGCTCTCTTTTTCTCTGTCTGTCTGACTTTCTCTCTCTCCCTCTTTGTTTCTCTCTCTGTTTCTCTCTCTCTCTCTCTATATATATATATATATATATATATATATATATATATATATATATATATATATATATCAGCTTGTGCCTATCCGTCTATTTATATGTACATCTCATTCTGTAAATATATAACTTAGCTGGTTTATATTTACTACCTCAGTCTGTTAATATCTAACTAGAATTCAGTTTGTCTATTTATTACAGTCTTATTTGATTAGGCAACTCAAGGGTTTCGCATCGAAGCGCTCCTTGGGACCAGATTTTTAATAAATTTATTGAGCTTATTATCAAATTCCATAATGAAATTTGAACGTTAAGATTAGTGTTCCTTCGCTCTGAGAGGACAAACGTTAATTCTAACTTTCAAATTTCAAATAATGCTAAAATTCTCGAAATTTTCACGTATTACTCAGTTGTATTATACATACACGCACACAGTGTATATATATATATATATATATATATATATATATATATATATATATATATATATATATATATATATATATATTAAAAATAAAAAAACCACTGTCAGTCTTCCTATTTCGTTCTTTTTCTATCTTTTCCTCTCCTTCTCTTTCACTTTATTCGTCTCTTTTCTTTCATCTCTTGATTTTCTTTAATATCATCATCATTATCATCATCAACAACATTTTTACTGCTACTGGTTTTATCAAAATGCTCCAGCATCAATGGGCATAACTGTTACCTTCATGTTCCACTATGTCTTCAATTCTCTTACGAAGTTTTGATAATTGTCTAAGTTTCCGCTTTATTTCAATTTTATTGTCGTCTACTGAAACAGTTGATAAGTTTTCTTCTCTTTGTTGATGATAATTAGATCTTTTTTTTTGTGGCCTGTACTAGATGATTCGTTTGTATCTCCAAATCCCAGAAAATTTTGTTTTTATTCTCTTTATACAGGTCTTATTGCTTCATATGCCACTGATTGGTATGATCCTATTCTAGTAACTTGCACAATTCCTAGTGGATTACCTTTCTTATCCATTCCTATTTATCTTTGCTCTCCCTCTGAGCAAATTTTCTGTCTTCACTCATTATAAAATTTACATTCTCAGCTCCAAACCGTTTCTATTTGCCATTTCCTGTGTCTCATCTAAGTCTTTATAGAATTCGTTCTTAAGACGTTGTTCTAAGCACATTCATTTTCTCTCTTCAGTTATTTAACTTTCTTTCAAGTCAGGTTTAATTTTATTCTCTTTTAACTGTTTCATCTCTATTTTCTTGTAAGTAACAGTTACTATTTCGCTCTGTTCCGTCTGTTTTAGTTTTAATACATTATATCCCTATATAATTGTTCTTAGTCAATAACTTTAGGAATAGCGTTTCTCTCTTCAAATCATTTCTATGTCGTCTAGTTTGCAATTCCTTTTGGTTGCCTCTTGGAGAGTTGTTTTTCTTCCCATTTTTGTTTCCACCTTTTAGAGTTTTCTAGCTCCTTATATATTCTCTTGATAATTTCTACAATTTTCCGATCTCATATTATTATTATTATTATTATTATTTATTATTATTGTTATTATTATTTATTATTATCCCCTTTGATTTCGGTTGTATACTCATTTTCCTCCGGGTCCCAACAATTTTCTACTGAAAATTTTCATAGATATTAAAATAAAACAACCTAAGATGACACACATAGATACCTCCCTTTATAAGGTGTTAGATGTACTTATGAGAACAATTTTTTGTGTTTCTTTAAGTTATGACCTACCAGGAATGACTTCAATGAGTATATCGGAACCTTTCCAAATTTAACCCAGGGCTCCAATCACAACTGAAATTATTGATATCTTCATATGATTTCATTTTTTTAGCTATCCACTTCATGATTCTTGTATTTTGATATTTTCTTGACGATCTTCAAAGATGCATTACAGTCTTCAAAAATGTCATGTCAATAAGAAAGCACATTCACTTTTTGTGGTCTTTTATCACTATGTCTAGACGATTAGATTTGATTGTTCTTTGTGTATTATAAGTCCCATAAAATTCTTAGAAGTCCTTTGTCTGTAATCGAGTCTGGGTGGAATTCATACCCATTTCTTGCAGTTATTTTCCCATAAAAGTTGCAAACTTTCCAGTACAAATATATGTTATACCGATTTCTTTAATTGGTCGGCGTTAATACCGTCTAATCTGATTCAAGATGGTCAATTGTTTCTGGATATTCATCTGCATTTGGTGTTAACACAATTTTTCAGTATGTTTTCTTGATAATTTCATCAAGTAAATATATTATTATTATTATTATTATTATTATTATTATTATTATTATTATTAACCCGTTATGCTATCTCAAGCAGATTGAATTATAATCATGGCATAATCTAAGGATCAGAGGTGGGTCATAACAAATGTCCTTGGGCCCTGTCATTTCTTCACCTCTCTCCATCAACAAAACCTTTCTCAGAATTCTGTCTGTCTTCGACTTTCTCAAGTATCTCAGTTTGAGTCGCAGTTCCAACTTTACCCAGCCATTTTTGGATTTTGTCTATCACTATTCAATTGGTTCCTACAACAACAGGAATAATCTCTACTTTCTTAATCCTGTGATATCTCACATTTTGTATTTCTTTATGGTATGAAGTACCAGGGATCACTTCAATGAGTCTATTGGAACCTTTTACAGTCAATCTGAGGGCTCCAACTACAACTGGAATTATTGATGTCCTCATGTGCCACATTTTTTAGATTTCCACTTTAAGATCCTTGTATTTTGATAGTTTTTGGAAGATCTTCAAAGATACATTACAATCTACAGGAACTGCTATGTTTTTGTGGTCTTTGATCACGATGTCTGGGCGATTAGCTTTGATTTTTGTGTCTGTGTGTATTCTAAAGTCCCATAAAATTGTTACATGTCCTACCTCTCTGTAACGGGGTCTGGGTGAGGCTTCATGCCAGTTTCTTACAATCGCCTTCCTTTATTGTTATTATTATTATTATTATTATTATTATTATTATTATTATTGTTGTTGTTGTTGTTGTTGTTATTATTATTATTACACAACAGTTAAAGAAGAGCGCAATTTAAGAAAAGAATAATCAGTGTTTGACAATGATATAAATAAAAAATTCAATGGTACGATGTCAGGCACAACAAAGTGACATCAACGGAGATTGCAGAATATTTTATTACAAACGACTTTGTGTCTGGAAGAATTAGGAAAAAATATTAATAATGAGCATGAAGAGGAAATAGTAGTCAGAAGGACAGTAGATAGCGATTGACACTGCATTTAAAATTTTGCAGATTAAAGTTGAGTGGAAAGCATAGAGACGGATGGGAGTTCCACAATCGAGAACTGCGAGGAAAGAAACTGTTATCATAGAATCTACAGCTACATCTGTCCAGCTCAACAATTGATGGGATCTCGACACCAGTAAAAGTCTTGGTAGCATAGCGAAGAGCTCTCATCTGAACAATTACCATGAAAGTATTTATAGAAAAGACACAAGGAGGCCACCTTACGGCGGTGGGAAAGTGACTGAAGGCGAGCCACCAGATCAGGATCAATAACATTGTTCATTCTTCTTTGGATCTTATCAAGGAACTCAAGTTAAATAGCAAGGGTATCGAATTATATGTGGCAGCAATATTCTAATCATGAGCGAATAATAGACATCGATATGTAAGATAGATTCTAGAGAGAAAGGCTTAAGGCAAAGCGTTGAAACACCGGTTCTCGTACAATCATCGAATTTAAGCAACGTCGAGCCTGGTCAGTACCTAGTTGACCTCTTGGGAATATTAGGTGCTGTAAGTTTTGACGTGCAGATGGTGTAATGGCTAATGGCTCGGAATTGTTTATCGCAGAGATGAGTTTCAATTCCAGTTGGGTTCCTTATATTCACTTACGCGCAAATACTCTCCGGAAAGGTATGAATCCACCTCTTCTCCCCCCAGCTATGGGTTAATTAGTAAGTATTTTGTGTCACAAAATCATTATTATTTCGAAAAGGCAAAGAATATTGGGTACAAAATATTTAGATTTTGGCATTAAATAACCTGCAAAGGTTTGATATGCCGCTAAACAAAACCATCAACCAATCTAGAGAGAATAATTGCCTCACCCGATACAGTGAACCAAAAAGTTACGTCTGCAAATTACTAATTTCCTGTCCCGAGGGAATGAACAGAATGACGGGAGAATTCCATAAGATTTTATACTAAACTTTTTGATTAATTCCTCTTAAGAATCAACTAACGGAAAATTCCAAGATGAAAAAGATCATTTTAAGCACGTTTCATTTGTATGCCTTCACGTTGGCGACATTTTATTCGCATTATTAGGAGAGTTTTGCATCGGGAATTAGTGGAGGGGGGTCGCGAAGGATCTGCTCTGCGACGGTTTTTAAATTACCCTAAGTCACAATGGTGTAATTTACTGTGGAGCCCTTCCCGGGTTAAGATTCTTCTTGTGTACCTAGTTAATGTAAGTGTCATTCCTGGCCTGTGCTCGGCTTCTCCCTGCAATCCAAGTTTTTATTGCCAACCTCTCCAGTTTGTTTTGACCTGCGCTTTTCATCTCGACTGGGTCAGTTTTTCGAATTTTCTAATGACCATAATTTTTTTTTATATCCTTCCCCCCTCCCTTAGAAACAGAACCTCTTGATTTTATTGGTAGGCAGAATTCAGCGGCAACTCTTATTTTTGAGGGATGGACGGGTTTTACTAACATCTTTCTTTTTTCAACTTGTTTTCAGGGTCATTGATAGAATTTTTATACAATTGTAAATATTGAAATTTTAAGTCATGGAGTGTTTTTCGGTAGGGGCCCTGTGTGGGTGAGGTATTTTGGTGTAAGTAGAAGCGAATGGTGCCGGGTAGATTCTTATGATGAATGAGTAAATTGTAGCGAAAGAATGAGTCGTGAATCT